GACAAAAAGAATACAGAGCCAGAACTAAGAGAAACAATACCTTTCACAATAGCTGATCACAAGATTAAATACTTGGGAATAAATTTAACCAGAAGTACGAAGGACCTTTTCCAAGAAAATTACAAAACATTACTACAAGAAAGCCAGGAACTTTAAAACAACTTTGAATAGACAATTTCTATTGTTGAGCTAAAAACATGGCCTTGTGATTTCCTCAGGAAAAAAAATGCATTTTCCTTTAATCATCAACATTTACTGAGTCTATTTTACATGCATGTCTTATCAAATTTTCAGATGCTTTTAAAATTTTTTTCTTGGTTAATGGCATATTAATTGTTAACATGAATGCTTTGTCAATTATTGGTGCTTAAATGTATCTATTATAATTAATCAATTAGTCAAGGTTCATCATTGATGTTAGAAGTAATTTGGAACATGTACTATACAGAAAATTGCAGGGGGTCTGACAGAGGAACAGATTCCAGTAGAAGACAAACGCTGGCATAGATACAAGGAGAGTTAAAGAGGTATTTGGAAGGTAGCATCCATAGAATTTGGTGACTGATTTTATTTGTGAACAAACAGGGAATGTGAAGGTGACCACCAACAAAAGATCAGTAGGGAAATGAATGGGTGACATTTAGGGTCTTGCGGACACTGGCTGTGGTTGAACTGGAGGAGCGTGACACATCATTTTCATTCCCCATATTCTCCTCACTCCCTGCATGCTATCCTCCTGCTTCCACTAACTTCTTTGCCTGATGAACTCCATCTTCAAGACACATACCATGTTACCTCCTCTAAGAATATTTTCCTCATTTCTCCAAGCATAGAGAAGTTTCTCCTCCATCCTCTCACAGCACCATGTTTAATTATAGATCAGTCTCTCTTCATTTCTCTGTCTCTATTAGGCTGTGAGGCCACGTAGGGCAGAAAAATATACTTTAAAGAAATACTTGAAAATATACACTTTAAATCCCAATACTCACCGAGGCATAGTGCCTGCCTTTTGTTGTTGTTAGCTGTCATCAAGTTGATCCTGACCCGTGGTCACCCATGTGTACAGAATGGAACTCTTCTATGGGTCTTTAAGGCTGACCTTTAAGAGGACTGCCAGGCCTGCATGCCAAGGCCCCTCTGAATGAGTTTGGGCTACCAACCTTTCAGCAAGTAGTCAGACTCTTAACCGTTTATTCCAGAGACTCCTGCCTACTCTTAGAAGATGTTTAACAAATAAATGTTCACTATCTGAAGGACTTCATCTAAAAAATTACTGAGAATGAGCTAATGCAACAATACAAAACAGTCCTCCAAAGGCGTCTATTAAACATAATTCACCTGCTTAAACTATGCTTAAGCATAATGAAGGTGAGGTTTGGTTTGTTTTTTTTTTAAATTTTATTATTTGTGTGTGTGCGTGTACCGTCAAATCAGATCTGACTGGGACAGGAGGAGATTGTCCCTCCTTCCCCGGCAGGGCATGTGGTGGACTCGAACCATGCACCTCTAGGATTGTAGTGCAGCTTCCTGCCACTAAGCCACCAGAGCTCCCCCAAGGTGAGGTTTTTAAAAAAATAACTTTATACTCACAGATTTTCCTTCTGCCCAAATGACTGCTCCAACTCCTGTTTTATGATCCTCTGAAAGATATGTAGCATTAACATAAAATTAAATTTTTCCAAAATTATTGAAAACATTTTTATTGAAACTTACTTCATATATGTAGCACTAACTCTTGGCAGATTAACTTACTGACAAATATTGAATGCCTTTTAAAGTAGACTATCAGGGCAGGTTACCAAATAGCTAGGCAGTGTCACTATACCCCGATCACACATGTGGACACCATGGAGATTGCAGGGCCCAGTCACCTCCCCTCCATGCATTCGGATCATTATCTTAAGCCCCCTTTAGACACTGTCGCACTTTCACCATTGGGGTAAATCAGATTAAAGAAAAAAAAATCCATTTCTAGATGAGAAAGCAGACACAGAAAAAAGAAGTGAATAAAATTTGAGCTGCAGATCCAACCTACTTCCCTTCCTCTCCTTTGGCATGAAGAGTTTCTAAACAAGATTTTAATTTCTTTAACAAATATCGAGTGTCTAATATGTGCCTCTGGTGGCCTGGTGGTAAGAAACTGTGCTGCAATTCTGAAGGCACATGGTTTGAATCCACCAGTTGCTCTGCAGGAGAAAGATGGGCAATCAGTGTCTTCCTGGGCTATTTTCTGCCTCTGACAACCCCCAGGAGGGTCAGCCATGGGTTGATTCCAACTCGACATTAACAACAACAGCATGTGCCAAGTGCTGGGATAGGCTGAGTGAGGGAAATGGACAAAGGGTCATCTTCATAAAATGTGCAGCCCGATGGAGGAGGAAGACGGGAACAAAGAAACATTCACTGCCCAGTGACAGAAATGAACAAGAGGCTGAGGTGGGGACACACAGAGGACTTGCTACTGTCTAGAGAAAGGAGACTGTCAGGGATGGGATTTTGATGACAACAAAGTTTTGTTCCTTCCTAGATTTTAACATGAAAGAATTTATCAACGCCTTCATGTTCATTTCTAAGGCAAGTGTACAAGTTGTAACAAGATTCTATTTCCCTGTATGCCAAAAAAGCCTTTATAATAAAGTAGTAGTTAATGTAAACATATATCTGAAGTAAGAAATGAAAAGCAAAAATAAGAACTTTTCTTGTCACGTGTCTCCTTTTCCTATCAACAACACTAGTATTTTTCATGCACTCTATTTTTCAAAATTTTATTTTATTTCATACTGGTTTATTTACAAAGTTTGAATGCATTGTTTTTCTCCATGTGCTCTATTTTTCACGTCAAGGAGTCACTTTTTTTGCCTCAGTTGGCACAGACTAAGCCATATCAGGAGGGAGAAAGTGTGATTTTTTTCCATAGGCTTTTAGCTTTAGGGCCAAGCTAAGTCATCAAGAGAGCAGACACCTTACTAGTGTCCTTTAAATACCCAGGTAGTATTCGCAAGTAGCATTTTCATTTTTCATACACATGCTAACATATAACCTAGTAAGTGAAAAATGTTTGAATTCTCAACGTGCTGATTAAAAACATACCAGCAATTGAAAGACTGCAATAAGGCACACTCCTCTCCTTTGACTCTTTATTTACGTTGATCTTTAATCTCCTTAGGTTCCATCTCTCAGAGGAGGCTAAATAGATACTGAAATGGTTACAGTAAGAAGCAGAAAGGAGAAGGGCCTAGAGAATTGGATCCTTATTTAGAAAATGTACCAAATATAAGGCCATAAGCAATTTAAAACTGCTCTAAGAGTTGTCTACTCAAGGGTCTCACTAACTTTTCTATATTCTACTGGAAAACTGTGGTAACCCAACACTACAGGAGACTGGATGAGCTCTTTACTGAGACAAACACAGCCCAGTCAGCTCTAGATATGAGTAAACACGTAACTCACCAGTTCGATAGGCCAATAACCTGGCCTGTATCATGCAGTGACGCGCAATGTCTTGTGGCAGACTTTGGTTGTGAACCTCATTCCTCTGTGCTGGGCTGTTACAGTAAAATCCAAAGTGTTTTGAGTTGGGCACACTGGAAGCTGCTGTGGCCAGGAGCAGGATAAGGTCTTTCATGTTCTGTCTTAGGTTGCTAAAGTACGGATTTTCGCACAGGTTCTCCAAACCTATAGTCATCAGTATCTGCTTATGCATCTCTTCATTTGGAACCAAAAATAGCATTTCATATTCTTTTATTCTTTCTTGTTTACACTCAGAATAAAAGTCACTCTTGGCATCCGTCAGTGTTTTGGTAATTTTTTGAATAAAGTCACATTTATAGGAGGTCTCCTCCACAAACTGCACCATATCACACACCACAGGCTGAAGCAAGACACACACATGAGCCCGACTGTTGGACTTCAATCTTTCCACTGCTTTGGCATCTAACTTGGCATCTTCAGAACTAGAAGCTTCAGCAAGCAAACTTATTTCTGGATCCGCGGGCCAGTATGAAATCCGGTTAACTCCAGCTGAAATACAAAATACGAACATTAGTCAATCCATACTCAGGGTTTTCTTGAGAAAGCTACGCTATCGGGCAGATGAAGATGCTCTGAGAGGTGTGGCCAAAACCAGCGGCTGCCTGTGTTTGCACAGAAAGTAGGATAAGAATGCTTTTCCAAGTGATGAGTGGGGGAGGGAATTAATATTTTGTGACAAGTGAAAATTCTATGAAATTCTGATATATTTCCAGACCATTTTACGGTAACACAGCCGATCTACTCACATGCTTTGGCTCTTTTTGTACTATAGTAGCAGTGGCAGACACTGCTTATGACTTGCAAAGTCTAAAATATCTGGTTGTCTCCAGAAAACTTTGCCACCCTGTCAGAGATCATGGGAAGATATTTGTGGAATCATTGGCTCTGCTAAGTATGTTTCAAGGGCTTTTGGAAGCCAGGCAAGGGAATGAATGGCTGCTTTTATAAATAACACTGTCTACAGTTGATATTTTGGGGGCATACTTGAGGCATGTCGTCAAGAGGGGCCATGCTTTGGACAGAGACAACACGCGGGGAAAGGTGGAGAGTCAGAGAAAGAGCGGAAGCTCCTCATCAACATGGACTGACACAGTGACGTTATCAATGGGCTGGAGCATGACAGATGGTGAAATCGGGCAGAACAGGACAAAGTTCAGGCTTGCTGTCTCCAGGGTCACTGAGAGTTGTAGTAACTTGAGGTATCTAAGAACAACAACAACATTGCTTATATTTTCTAGCTTTATCTGTAAAAAAACTTGGATTTGAAAAAAATTTGCACTAACAGCTCCTGTCCTCTTCTTCACCATTTTTGAGAATCTACTCAAATATTTCAAAGGGCAGGAGAGAGGGGAAAAAATGATCTGTGCTAGAATATACTTACTGCATCATTGTTTAAAATTGTGAAAACTTAAAATCCAAATGATCAAAATAGAGGAACAGTTAAATTATGGTTCTGTCCTCATAAGAGAAAAAATACTGTCACCAGGTGCTGTCGATTTGACTTTGACTCATAGAGACCCTGTCAACAACAGATATGAAACTTGCCAGAAAGGTCTACAAAGAATTAAAAACCATAGAAAAATTCTAATCATGTGTGAGAAAGCAAGATACAGCTTTTAAGACTACAGAACTGCAGACAAATGACAAACTAGGGTAAATATTTTCAATCAATTGGACAAAAGCTAATAATTTTTAATGCACAGAAAAGTTTTTAATTACTATAAATTGATAGAACATTAAAGTTTCAAGAGGGAAAAAGATACAATTTATAAAACCAGTTTAAAAAACTTGGAAAATTTTCATTTACACTTGTGATTAAACAATGAGATGTCTCATACATTGGTAAGTACCCAAGTAAATGTTCACCAGTTGATCACCCTTTGCTTGTCTTCTATATAATTTCAGTTAGGAGGGACTTTGTCGTGTGCTGTACCAGAAGCAAAAAGACAAGTGACCCATGGAGTGTTGTACCTCTAAGAAGTTGAACAAATATCGTACTCTCTGCTACTCTTGACTCACCCTGTACTGCAAAGCCATTTTGAAGGCATTAAAGCCTATTCAAGTGTATTTCTACAAGGAAAGGAGCATGAAAACAAGAAACACGGGGTGGAAGAGTAAGAGTGCTATTACACTGTGGTGACCACAATCAGTGTCACAGAACAAAAGGTATATGAATTGTTGAACAGAAAACCAATTTGCTCTATAACTTTTTACTCAAATTATAATACAAAATTGTGTCTTGTTTTTTTTAAAAGAATTGTTTTGAAACTCTCATGATTTACTTTCTAATGAGTATGGATAGTATATCTTTCATCTAAGTATCTTGTTCCTAGGAATCTTAATCCAAGAAAGCAAGGAATAAAGAATTCTTAGACATATTTGTGCACCAGTGGCAAGAGCTACAGCAGAGTTCCTCAGCTTGCCTGGTCTCAGGATCATCCACACTCTTACCAAGGGCCCCAAAGAGCTTTATGTGTATTCTCTCCACTGACATTTACAGTACTAGATAGTGAAAAACAATTTTTAAAGTATTTATTAGTTCCTTAACAGTGAAGAACTGTGATGTTAAGGGTTTATTGCTCAAAACGGCTTTTCTAAACTTTGACTTTGTCATGTGGATGTGTTATATCTGCCATGTGCAAATAGGGTATGTTAGCTCTCCACAGGGAGACTGGCTAGTCTAACCACTAAATTGAGCAGATTAACAGCAGATTTTGGCAGTTTCACCATCAGCAAAATGTAGAGCATGCAGAGTACAGATCCTTCAGGGCTGTATATTCCTGAGGTGCTCAGATTGAGGCCTATAGGACTGGCTGTAGCAGCAGCCACAGCAGAGAACCAGACACCTGACTTGAGACAGAGTTGACCTTGGGATTGCTACTCCATGGAACCAGAGCTAGGAGCCCTTGGAGGGGAGGGCCTTCATTGGTAGAACTAAGATTTTTAACACTGGCCTAAAGTCATGAGGCTGAAGGCTGAGAGGCTTGTGAACACATTTCAGCAGCTGTCCTAAGTGATTGTACCAACATGAATTACAGCTTTTTAACTTTTCTAATAAACCCCATAATCATGAGTACAGTTGTTTGTGCTCTGTGAACCATTGCAATGTATTTTGGACCCACTAGAGCAGTAGGATCGGTATTGGGGTTGGTAGAAAGAGGTACCGGGGTGTCGGAAGTGTGTTTGACCTCAAGGTAATTGGTTTTGTGCTGTAGATGATGATGGCAGGGGCAGTTCCCCCTTGAGGAGTTAGTGAAGATCAGATATGTCCATCCTTGCTCTTTTTATAAGAACTTACACATTAATGCAAATAATATATTTTTATGAAAATACCTATATTTTCTAAAACGACATAAGTTAGTGAGAAGAAAGGCATTTAAAAATTTGTCAGTGTCTTTACTAGCTAGCTTCACAAAGACAGCTGGGTTCTCAAGGCTACTTTTGCTTTCAATACATTATACTATGCTTTCATGAAAGTATATAAAAATATTCAGCCTTATACAAATATATAATTGAAAAATGAGAATTTTAGCAGCCATTTCAGATAACTGTGAATATTCTACTTTAACGATACACTTAATTCAACCTGGAAAACTTTCTTATAATTTAGATGCAAAGTGAAATCTGAAGCCCTATCAATGACCTCTTTGTCTAGGACATTAAAATCCATTGGTGTGTGTGTACTCTGAAGGGCTCATCACCCATGGGATTTTGTAACTTTGTCAAGTGGTTACTGGAAAACAATAGTTATTACACAACAACAACTCCTACAATATTGGGAAAAAAATCATACTCATTATTATCACTGTCAGTTCATCAGAAGGAAATTTACTTGGATGGTATCAAATTAACAATGAACAGAAGTTTCCCAAAAGTTGAATCACCACTTAAAAGCTAAGATTTTATCCTTTGGTAACAAACACTGTTAGTTCTTTTCCTCTTGAGAAAATGTCTGACAAATTACCAAGTCTAAAGAAGTGTAGTTGATCAGTTCATGATGTTCCAAGAGAAAAGTGGATTGTTCAGCCTGCAGTTCGTTCAAATAATTCTGCAAGTGCTTTTCCTTAAGGAAACTGTCATGCTGTGTATGTAAAGACTGGGATTTAATACAAGTTAATGAGTTTCATTGTTTCAACAGAACAATCTTGGGTGAAAACTGGTGGCAAAGACTACAGTGGTTTCTAGAGTAACTATTTCCCCCACCTTTAGTGCATTTTTATGCCACTACTTTGATTCATACCATGGATGGTCACACCATACTATGAGGGTTACACTCGCCATCATCTTGGTGTCCTTAGCGAGAATTAATAGCACTGTGTCACAGTTTCCACCTCTTGGATCATCAGCAGTCTGCAGAGTTTCAAGACCCATTGTGTTATAGGATTATCTATTCTGTAAATGAAATGGTTGTTGTTATGTGCCATCAAGTCGCTTGCGACTCATAGCGGCCCTATGTACAACAGCCCTAAACTCTGCTCTGTCCTGTAAAAAAGTAATTTATTTATATCATTAGATTAAACCATGCTCTTTCTTAAAATAATAAATAATGTACAATGAAATATGTGAAAGGTGGAATCTGTATAAAGTGGAAATGCAAATATTTTACACTAAAATAAGCAATACCAAAGTGGCTACTCTGTACTCTGACAAAGGTGAAAAATTTTTGAGGCCTGTAAAATTGGGGCAGTCTTGTCGAGTTCCAATGTTTACAGATTTTATTCTCTAAACTAGGGAGGTTCTCTAGTGGTCTAGTAGGTAAGGAAGTTGCACTGTCAACCCAAGGCAGAAGGTTCTAATCCATCAGCTGCTCCAGAGCAGATGGATAATCTCCTCCAGTGTGATCTGCAGTCACTGAAAACCCACTGGAGGGTCAGCTGTGAGTGGTTCCCAATGCAAAACAATGAATTTCTGAGAATCTCACAATGTAGTTTTGTTTATATATTGGTCTGTTTCCTAACACCAGTGCAAAAGCATCTCCACTGTAGACCCAGGGTTGAAGTCCTGATTTTCCATACTTTATTATCTCTCTTACCAGATTTTGATGTCTTAACTCAAAAACAGCAAGTTAGTGGTCAAGTTACCGTCATTCCCCAAGACATTTAATAAAAGTAAAATTTACAGATCCTTGGGCTATTAGTGCTTTTAGTCAGTTCAGCACAAAGCACACCAAGTGGAGTTTTTAAAAAATACAGTCTTCTCCTTTGACTCTAGGACACATGAGTCAACAAATATTTCAGTACTTGTACCTTCTTTTCTATATGCAGCACAGCTTTTTGCCACTAGGCTTCCAGAGTTCCCTTATAAAGAAATACATTTCCATAATTCCTAAACTCATTTTACATCCTGGCTAAAGCAATATTGTATGAATTAAGCTGCCAATCTTTAATCTGTTCTTGTTCCAACCTAGCAACAAAAAAACCCATTTCAGTCATTTTTTTTTACTCCTGACCTAGGTAAAATCTCCCATCAACTCAACTTGCTGTCACTGAGTCAATTTTGACTCATAGGGACCCTGGGTTTAGATTCTAAGAGTGTAAATCACAATGGGAAGAGACTGTGCGTCTTTCTCCTTCAGAGTCTCTGGTAGATGGTGCTGCATTATCTATGCTGTTGTTAGGTTCCATCAAGTCGGAACCGGCTGATAGCTGATCTTCCAGCAGATTTATCAGCAGCTGTAAATTACATGGGATAAGACTGGCTTTCTTTCTTTTATGGAGCAGCTGGTAGATTGGAACTGTCCACCTTGAGGTTGGCAACTTAACTACTTACTTGACCACCAGAGTTCCCTATAATAGGAGGTATAATTCAACTGCATACAGTTTAAAACGAGTACCCAATCTGTGTTTACACATAGACTGAAGGAAAAAATGCCACCATTACCATGCCATACAATAAAATGACTTAAATCACTTACTGACGAGAATCACTGACTATAGTTCTCAGGACAGATTATATCTCAACATAAAGAAAACAAAATTCCTCACAATTGGACCAATAAACATGATGAATGGAGAAAAAGACTAAAGTGGTCAGGATTTCATTTTATATTGTTCTACAATCCAGGGAGGCAGCAGTCAAAAAATCTAAGGACCTAGTGCATTAGCAAATCTGCCAAGGACCTCTTTAAAGGTACTAAAGAACAATTATGTCACTTTGAGGCCTACCTAAGGTATTCCTAACCCCAAACATGGTATTCTCAATTGCTTCATATGCATGTGAAAATGAGACAAAATTAGAATAAGAAAGAACTATGAAGAACTGAAGGGAGTTCTGGTGGCTGAGTGGTAAGGAGTTGTACTGCCAACCAAAAGGAAGAAGTCTGAATTCATTAGTTGCTCCATGAGAGAAAGATGGGCAATCTCCTATCATGTGATTTACAGCCCCTGAAAATCTTCTGGAGGGTCAGCTATGAGTTTGTTTCAACAAACAACAAGAATTGATGCCCTTTCTTGAATTGTGATGCTGGGGAAGAATATTGAATATACGAAGGTGTGTCAAAAGAACAAACAAATCTTAGAAGGGCAGCTAGGGTGTTCCTCAGAAGCAAGGAGGCTGAAATCTCATCTCACATACTTTTGGCATGTTATCAGCAGGGATGAATCCTTGAAAAAGGACAGAGTATGTGTGTGTGTGTGTGTGTGTGTGTGTGAAAGCAGATGATCAGCAAAAAAATAGAAGAATCTCAATAGGATGGGTTGACACAGTGAGTGCAGCTATTGGCTCATACACAGCTGCACTGTGATGTCGGCACAGGACCAGGTAGTGTTTTGTTCTACTGTGCACAGGAATGACTTTATGGAACCTAAAAGCTACCATTCTGATCTTCTCCATTGAAAATTGCAGTGGCTATATTATAGGATCTAAAATGACCACATTATCATTTCCACTGGAAGTTCTTCCATTTGTAGGTGAAGGGCAATTTACTACACAGCAGTCCCTTACTCTTAAGACTCTGGTGTAAATAACAACAGTTCTTCCTTAAACAGTAACTCTGATCTATAAGGTAGAGCCCAAATTCCAGTTTTTCAGAGTTCTCCACTGGCAACTCAACCTGTAATTCATCTGCCACTATTCTCCAAATATCTTCCATTTCAAACAGTGCTCCTTAGTAAATCTTTTCTTATAACTTGCAGTCCACTGTGCTATTCCTCCTGACAATGCATTCCATCCATCAAACTCCAGATTAAACTCCAGGCATTTCTAACAATGTCAGTCTGAAGGGACAACCATGCCTATTCTGGGCTCATAATCAGTGACAGACTAAACCATGTGCTTGATAGTAGTGATATGCTAATGGTAACTTATCATTATGAATGCAAATAAGAGTTGGAAAGAAAAGGATTAGGAATCATACTAGACTTTCTTTCATAATGCCTTTTATAAGACACATGTTTACAAAAGAAAAAATGGTGCACTTACTTGAGAGAAAAAAAAAGTCATTAGCACAGAGGTTTAGTGAGTAGTCTGGTACAATAAAGATGCACCTGTTAGCTCTATGTTTAAAAGGTGCTTCTCCTTCTAAGGTACAGACATTTATTTAATATCTATGTAAGTCACCCAGAGAAAGCCGTCAATGAGAGACAACTGCTCAGGTGGAGACAGTAGCTCCTACAAGGGATATAAACAGAAATAATGAGTGTCACATCCAGGCCAGTGTTTTTAAGAAGCGGCTGTTTACTATTTCTTGGCCTATTTCAAGGAGCAGAGCAGTCAAAGCCTTTGAGGATGACAATTACACAGAAGATGCCTAGGGCTACGGATCAATAAGGAAGGAAGTTGTTGACTACTCAGCAGTACCTGCATTGGGCTACTCTCGTTTAGCGCCACAGAGTTGACTACAATTCATAGTGACCCTGTGAACAAGAGTGAAGCCTTGCCCTAACCTTCAGCATCCTCACAATCTCCCACATGCTTGACCCCATTGTGAGAGTCACTGTCTCAACCCATGTGGTTGAGGATATCCCTCATTCGCTGACCCTCTGCCTTTCCCAGCACGATGTCTGACCACTCCTGAAATAAGTATTACAAGTGGGTATCTGTAACTTTTAGATTCTACAGTCTATCCACTGCAATTTTCAGTGGAGAAGATCAGTATTGTAGTTTGCTCAAAGTATACGAGACAAAGTGTCATAACTGATGCTTTTGAATTGAGGTTCTCACAAAGAGTATTGAATATCTCACAGACTGCCAAAAGAACAAATCTGTCTTGGAGGAAGTATACTGGGCTATTATATGGTAATAAATTAATATCTAGTGAATCAAGCAACTAAGATTTTGGAGTTTGTTACAGCAGCTAACATTAGTCTACCAGTACACTTGAGGTTATTTAGCTAATTAGTGGCAGAGCCGAGATTGTAGGCCACATTTTCCAACTCCCATGGTGTATTAAATTGTCTTTAAACATGTATTTCTATTTCCAAATTTTCTTTGTGGCATTTAGATAATTTGTTCCTACTGACTGTCCTCAGAAATATACTATTAATCCCTAGCAAAGCCTTATCCACACTTACCATTTACAATCATTTTCAAACAAGCAGAACATGGTTTTCTGGAAAAATAAAGATCACAGTTTTTCAGCTTTGACCCATGTTTAATAAGAGCAATTTGCCCAGCATGCAAATCTTCACTAGAACAGTGGAGACCAACAATTTTCATGTTTTTCACCACCACAAGACCAGTTTTCTTCACCTACATTAAAATACAAAATAATAATTTATTAGTTTTAACAACTAATGGTAACATCTTGGCTTAAACTTGATTTACTAATATAAGTTTCCATTAGTTCTTTACCTGAACACAGTCTGAGTAAGAGTACATTTCTCATTAGATCCAAAACTGTCACCAAAGAATTAGTGTTGGCTTTATAGTAGACATTTTTTTAAACTCTCTCTCTCTCTCTCTCTCTCTCTCTCTATCTATATATATATATATACTCTGCATATTTTATTTTCCATTTTCCTACAATATTATTTTCCATTTTCCTACAATTTAGTATGTGAATTAAATGAACTCCAATAATACTGTGACCCGCAAACCAAAAATACATACATTTGGCTGAGATTAACATTTATCTTAAGGAAAAATTAACTAGTAATTCTTATAACTTCTTATGACCAGTCCTGTAATTTTTTCTAATGATTTTCTTTAAATAATTACTAAAAGATGAATAATCATTTTAGTTACTTTCCCCTGTTGTTAGAAACCAAGGAATATTGAACTATTTCAATCATTCAAAGCAGTAATAAGATCAAATAAATAAGCTAGATTCTTTATGTAACTGTTAGCCTGTATCTAAGTCAGCATTTCTCTTATTCAAATTATCTAACCTGATTTAAAGAGTTTAAAAAAATTTAAAAAATGTAAGAATTATTTTGATAATTAAATAATATAATCTTTTGTATCACATTAAATTGACCTGGTGTGTAGGCAGATGTACTGCCAGTCCGGAAGAGGACAATTCAAATCCACCAGCTGCTGCATCAGAGGAATATGACTAATCTCCTCCATGTGATTTACAGCCTCTGAAAATCTGCTGGAGGATTAAGTAGGAGTCAATTCTGATTTGATAACAGTAAGAGTAGAGTACAAACATTTGTCATATACATGATGTTTCATTGGATAAGTGAACAGTTTAAAATATAAATCAGTTAAATAATGTTTCTAATTTGTAAGAGATGATAAGTAACTATTTGGATTTTTTGTTGTTTTAGTTAACTGCAAATCTCTATTTCTTCTTTTTTATTGTTTAGTTTTAAATAAGGTATCTGTTAATTGGTTATGCAATTATGAAACTTTTGTACTATACATACCAGCAAAAATCACCAAAGTAACACAGAAGATAAAATGCACACCTTTAGATTTAATTAATATATATAGTGTTTCCTAAAAATCTTATTATTGTAATGATGTATATGTATTTATATTTGTTTTTTATCATGTATTATTTCTTTAAGGTGTGTTCTTGGCTCTTTTTTTAATTATTGGGTTTCCATTCATTCATTGTTGCAAAACCCAAACTTTCTTAACTCCATGATTAAGCATGTAATTATCACTCATTTTCCAAAGGAAAGATGATTACATTTGAAACTAGCAAAGGACAAGACAACACCAGTCTAACTTCTTAGAGCAGTCCATCCAGCAGTACTTGGTGTTGGGTTTCTAGACAGTAATAAGGAAAGTTTTGGATAGTCCCCTGATTTTACACATGGAAAGTGAACTTTAAAAGACATTATATTTGGTTTAGCAGAACCCAAGAAGTAAAAGGCACAGTCAAAGCAGAGATCATCTTATTTTAAAATATTTTAAATAATGACTTAAAAGTAATTCTCAACTCCTTTCTAAAAACCACTACCAATTTTTACCAGTCTAGACGTGGTTATTAGAGCATCCCTACAATGAATATCTAGATAATTTTAACAAAGAAAAAATATTTCAAAATGCATAGTCAAACTCAAAATAAAAGAAGACAGACTTGTAGGTGTCAGAAAGGAAGGAAGAAGCCAAAGTCAGAGCAGAAAGCTCAAGCTGCCTTAGCAGTCAGTAGTCCAGAGAGAAGACTGGATGACTCGGAATCCAACCCTGAAGGCTGGGATTCTCAAGTCCTAATGCATCTCTCTCTCTCTCTAAGCAACATAAGTTAGTTGGACAGAGAGAGAAAAGAAACATCCATTCTGTGTGGTTAAACAGTGAACTCTATATTTGCCTATTCTAAGTGTTTCATTAACTCCTAAAACCATGATAATTCTGTTGGTCTAATGGAAGGAACTGATTGCCAACTCAAGGTCATGCAGTTTGAATCTACCAGCTGTTCCCAAAGATGGGCAGTTTCCTCCCATGTGATTAACTACCTCTAAAAACTCAATGGAAGGTTTGCTATGATTCAGTATCAAACTCCATGGAACACAACAACAATGTGTTTCATTTAGTGAAATCATACACTGGTTGGTGTAGATCACTTAGTCTAATATTTTCAATATTCATCTACTGTGAAGCATGTCTCAAGATGGCACTTCTTTGTATGGTATATGTATATACATATACATATACCATATGTATATAACATATATATATGTTCTATGTATATATTATTGTTGTTGTTGTTAGGTGCTGTTAAATACAACTCATGCGACCCTTTGAACAACAGATCTGAACCCTGTCTTCTCCTGTGCCATGCTCAACATACTTGAGCCCCTGGATGCAGTCACCATGTCAGTTTCTTAAGGTCTTCCTCTGGCTGACCCTTCACCTTTCCTAGCATGGTGTCCCTTTCCAAGGGGTAGCCTCTCCTAGCAATATGCCTGAAGTATGTGCGACCAAGCTGTGCCATCCTTGCAAGCACCCTTTAATGTATGAAGTATAAACGTAGGAAAATTGGAAGTGGTAAAAAATGGAATGGAATGCATGAAAGTTTATATTCTAGGCATTAATGAACTGAGATGGACTGTCATGGACCACTTTGAATCAGACAATCATATAATCTACTATGCTAGGAATGAAAAAATGAGGAAGAATGGTATTCAAGTCAAAGTGAAAAAGGCCATTTCAAGATCCTAAAATACAATATTGTGGGTGATAGGGTACTATCCATACGCATATACAAAAGACCTGTTAATACAGCTATTATTCAAGTATTGTATATATATACTGCATTTGCTTTATATTTCTCTTTGAGTCAAAACCTTTTCTCCTTACTACAAATATTAACTTAAATAAAAGCAAAACAAAACAAAAAACAACTGGTGTTACCAAATTAATTTCTGTTAAAAAAGATTAGGGTAAAAATTTTAAGGAAGGCACAAAATAAAGTTTACCCTGTTTTGTTTTGTTTTCGTTTACCCTGTTTTTGCAGGCAAAAGTGAAGTAGTCAAAAGCAGGTAAAAACCTCAGGAATATACAGCTGACTCTTGGGGTTTAGGCTGACTGTTGTGATGTGAGGAAAGCTTAGATTGATAATCTGGTAGCTATGTTCATTTTCCCTTAAAAAGGCTTTGTTGTTGTTTGTTGTTATATGCTATCATATTGCCTGCAACTCATAGCAACCCTATGTACAACTCTGCTCTAACCTGTTCCAATCTCATTGTCTCTGACATACCTACCCTAACTACCCCAGTCACTGAATCAATCCACCTCATAGAGGGCCTTCTCCTCCTGCGCTGTCCTTCCACCCGTCCAAGCATTATGTCCCTCTTCAAGGATTGGTCCCTCCTTGCAACATGTCCAAAGTATGTCAGACGAAGCTTCAGAATCCTTGCCTCCAAGGAGCAGCCTGCTTTAATCCTCTCTAGGGTGAACCTGTTCGTTTTCTTAGCAGTCCATGGTATATTCAATACTCTTCTCCAACACCACAGCGCAAAGGCATCAATTCTCCTTCTATCCTCCCTAGTCATTGTCCAGCTCTCTGATGCACAGCAAGTGACTACAAAGATCATAGACTATATCAGGCACACCTTAGTCTCCATAGTGATATTATTTCTCTTCAGAACTTTGGAGAGGTCTCTAACAGCAGACTTTCCCATCACAATACGTCTTTTGATTTCATGGCTGCTGGGGCCAAGAGTGTTGACTGTGGAGCCAAGCAAACTAAAGCTGTTAACAATCTCAATCTCTTCACCATCCATCGTGAGGCTGCCAATTGGCCCAGTGGTGAGAATCTTTTCTTGATATGAAGCCTCAATCCATATTGAGTACTGTATTCCTTGACCCTCTACAGCAAGTGCTTCAGATCCTCCTCAGTTTCAGCAAGCAGGATTGTGCATCTGCGTAACACAAATTGTTGATGAATCTTCCTCCAATCCTTTTGCCACATTTCTTCTCATACAGCCCAGCTTCGTAGATAATCTATTCTGTATATAGATTGAAAAAGGTATGTAGATAGGACACATTCCTGGCATACACCCTTCCCAATTTTGAACCACACAATGTTTCCTTGCTCCGTTCTGACAACTGCCTCCTGGTCCAAGTAGTGGTTTCACATTAGCACGATCAAGTGTTCTGGGATTCCAATTCCTCATAGAGTTAGCCATAGTTTGTTGTGATCCACACAGTCAAACGCCTTTGCATAATCAATGAAGCACAGACAGACATTCCTCTGGTACTCCCTGCTTTCAGCCAAGATCCATCTAACATTAGCTACCATATCCCTAGTACCATGGTCCCTTCTAAACCCAGCCTGGACTTCTGGCAGTTCTCTGCTGATGTGCTGTTCCAGTCATTTTTGGATAATCTTCAGCAGAGTCTTGTTTGCATGTGATATTAATGATATTGCTCGATAATTTCCACACTCTGTTGGGTCACCTTTCTTTGGGATGGGAACAAATATAGATCTCTTATAGTCAGTTGGCGAAGTGGTTGTCTTCCAGATTTCTTGACACAACTTGGTGAGCACACCTAGGGCAGCATCTGTTAGTTGAAATATGTCAATTGGTATAATATCAATTCCTGGAGTCTTATTTTTTACCAATTCTTTCAAAGCAGCTTGAAAGTCTTCCTTCATCACAATAGGTTCTTACTCATATGTTGTTTCATGAAATTCTTCTGTTTCTGCCATTTCCTTTTGTTACAATGCCTCTGTATACTCTTTCCATCTTCTTTTAATACTTCTTGGATCATTTAATAGTCTGCCCAAAGCATCCAAAGTATTGCACCTTGGGGTTTGAATTTGTTTTTCAGTTCCTTGAGCTTAAGAAATGCTGAGCAAGTTCAACCCTTTTGATTTTCTGACTCCAGTTCCCTGCACATTGCATTGTAATATTTTACTTTATCTTCCTACGCTGCCTTTTGAAATCTTCTATTCAGCTCTTTAGTATCTTGAATTTTCCCCTCTGTTTTGGCTTCTCTGTGCTCCAGTGCAATATTCAGAGTCTCTTCTGACATCCATTTTGGTCTTTTCTTCCTCCTCTGTCTTTGTAATGACCTTTTACACTCTTCCTGGATGATATTCTTCATATCCTTCTACAACTCATCTGGTCTTCGCTCATTGGTGTTCAAGGCCTCAAACCTGTTCCTGAGATGGTTCTGAAATTCAGGTGGGATAGACTCAAGGTTCTATTTTGGTTCACATGAATTCAATTTCATTTTCCTTAGCTTCAGCTTGAACTTGCATATGAATAGTTGGTGGTCTTTTTCACAATCAGTATCTGGCTTAGTTTTCACAGCTGACAGTGAGGTTCTCCAGCGGTTCTTTCCACAGATGTAATCAATCTGATGTCAATGCTTGCCATCAGATTAAATCCATGTGTATAACCTGTGTTTATGTTTCTTATAAAATATATTTGCAATGAATAAATTGTTGATTGTGCAAAATTCAATCATTCTATCTCCAGCTTCATTTCTGTTACGAAATGAAGTCCATGTTTTTGACTACTGATCCTTCTTCTCTTTTTTCTTCAACTTTTGCATTCCAGTCAACCATAATTATTAATGCATCTTGATTGCATGTTCAATCAATCTCTGACCGTAAAAGTTGATAGAAATCTTCTATTTTCTCTTCTTTGCCTCTGGTTGTTGGTGCATATATCTGAATGATAGTGGTATTCACTGGACTTCCTTGTATGCATATGAATAGTATCCTGTCACTCACATATTGTATTGCAAGACATATCTAGAAATGACTTTTTAAACTATGAAAGCAACCCTGTTTTTACCTTTTCATCTTCGGCATAATAGATCATATGATCTTCTGACTCAAAATGCCCCATGCTAGTCCATCTCACGTCACCAATGCCTACTATGTCACTACTTTCTTCCTTAACAATATCTCATTTTCCTACATTCATAGTTTTCACATTCCATGTTCCAATCACTAGTGTCTGCTTACAACTAACTGTTCCTTTTCCTTTTTATTTCCATACTTTACTCAATGGTTATTTCCAATCAAATATTTTTAAAATCACTTTAAAGATGAAACTGAAGCTATCTTAATTTACATAATCAAGTTTATATTTCAGTTATGAGTATAAATGTTTCAGACTATGAAGAACAATATATTATGAAATGCCTGAAAAGAACAGATAGATGTTTAATGGAATCCTCTGAGTTAACAGGCCATCTTGTAAACTATAAGGACATTTAAAAGGAACATGGAAATCTAAAATATGGGAAGTCTAGCTATATTGAATTTTAAAAGCAGCTTTAAATTTACCTTGAATTTGTAAATGTTTTCCATCTTTCTTATCTAAAAAATGTTTAGAAATTTTGTCTTCCTTAAATACAAGTCTATGTCAGTATCTACTTGTACATACTCCCAGCAAGTTCTATATAAATTATCACTTTGTAAAAGAACTGGTGGTGTTTTATCAAATGATCTTGGTGGGAGAGCTCATTTTCTTCTTCTTGGTGCTGTAACTGCTATCAAGCTGTCTTCAAATCATGGGGATCCCAGGCAGGATACAACAGGTGCTGCTTGATTAAACGCAAGTACTTCTCACCAATGGAAATGGCTGCAAGTGAATTATTTTACTTCTGGCTTTTCTAAGTTGTTAATATAGAAATATAATCAGAAAGATTATCTTCAGCACTTAAATAAAATTATTCCTAATGAATAAGATACATATCCATCAACTTATTTTCTATTAAAGTAGTCATTTGGGCCAGCTTTAGTTATCATTTTCTTGTCTAAAGTAAACTTATGATTTGTTCTCATTTTTTTCTCTAGCTCAGGACACAAAGCTAGACACTAAGCTAGAGACAAAGAGATTTTTCCATCCCAAACTTAAAAGCTTAAATTGTATCCCATTTTGGCACTTCCACTTACTAGATCCTACAGAAGACTAAATGTTTTCACTGAATCACTGCTCTGAATCCAGATTTTGTTTCATTTCAGTATCATCTTAGCAAGTTGTCTTTATAACTCTAGTCACAGTACTTCACACTGAAACATGGATAAAAGAGGAATCTATTCTATACATAAACTAATGCATTTACTTAGCTGATTCATTCTTTTGCCTTTCTTATAAAGAATGCAGTTGAATATTCTGAGATAATTTCTATATTCTTATCGAGTGTTTTAGATTTCAATCTCAGAACTAATTAGGAAACCTTCTGGAATGTTGATCAAAATCATCAAACGTTTTCCAAAATACACTCCAAACTCAGTGAATTAGGACCTCTGGAAAACTCAAGCGACAGAAGCAGTATTATTCAATATTTAAATGACTAACATTCAACTTGTCAGGTCTGGGCTTTGATTTGACTCTACTTACAAACTGTTCCATGGATGCCGGCAGAAAACATGAGATTCTTGGGTTAGAGACAAAGGACTTTACTGCTCTCAGCATAGCAAGCAAGATGAGCAGTATGTCTGTGATGGTTCACCTTGCCTACAAGTGCCACAGGGATAATACAGATGGGTCACATGAATACCCGGCATCCAGTGAGCTGCTTTATCAGAAAAGAGCACACTGAGCTTGTGGATCCTACCGATGCAAGAAGACAGAAGCAAACTTGCTATTTATTCCGAGGGGAGATATTGCCTCATCCCTCAAGGTTTTTTGGTGTGAATACAACTCCTAAGAAATGGCCCAGGCAAAGAGCACTCAGGGCCTTGCATTCTTGGTATACCCAGCAGAATGTGTGAGAGTATCAGATCACCAATATGTCTATATGGGTTAATAATATGAGTTAAAAACTGATGCTTTTGAAATACTGACAAAGAATTGGCAAGCACTTTAAAAAGAGTTCATAAGGACTGCTAAAAGAACAAACACATCTATTTTTTAAAAAAAATTTATTTTGTACTGGTTTACTTACAAAGATCATAAAGTTCATATACAATGTTTTTCATACCAGGTCATCTATTTTTTTAAGAAGAATGCTCCTTAAAAGCAAGGATACTTCAGTCAAGTTATCAAGAAGGGCTAGTCCCTAGAAAAAGACATCAAGCTCAGAGAAGCAGAGTCAGAGAAAAAGAAGATGACCCTCAACAGGACGGGGTGACATGGTGGCTGTAATAATGGGATCCAGAGCCCAGCAGGTGTGAGGATGGCGCGGCACTAGGCACGTTTCATTCACTTGTGCATACACTGCTACTTGACAGCATCTAAATTTTAAAGGGGGTGTGTGTGTGTGTGTGTGTGTGTGTGTGTGTGTTTTCTAAAGTGAGGGAAGGGTAAGATGCAGGACAGTGTGTATGGAAGAGCATCTCTGTTATTTTTAATGACAGATATATATGTATATATATAATCTTGTAAATACACAGAAAGTTGGTAAAAAAGTATACAAAAAGAAATCTCCCTTATAAGTGCAAATAGAGAACTCTGACATCCCTTTACATCAATCTGACTGTTCTCCAACTATAACATGTTTGAGTTTTTGGTTTTTTCCTTGAATAAAAACATTTACCTGTTTTTTGTCTGTAGGTCTTCTGGTCATATTTTCATTATCACCTGTGGAGCCAGGCTCTCCCTCTTCTTTTTTCTGATTAAAACCAGATTAAGAAGGAAAAAAAATTGTTATCTGAGACATATAATTCCATTTTCCACAGTTAAAGGCTGGTTTCCTTGGTGTATAAAAAGTTTAGGTGGCAGAGGGATGGCCATCTCTAACCTCTCTTAATTTCACAAAGGGGAACAGTCCCCATCGGCAACATCCACAGTAAAACCAATTCCTATAAGTTCCTTGAACCTACTTCTACTAATTCCAACACCAATCAGATTGCTTTATTACAAGGTCCAAAATTCATTGCAGTGGTCACACAGATCTTAGAGAACCTTACTCATGTTTATAAGGTTTATTAAGGAGGTTAACAGGTTACAATTCAGGTTGGCAATAGGATACAATTCCTCAGTCTTCTCAAGCATGCTGGCAGGCCTTTTGACATTCAGCCTCATCGCTTAGGTCAGTGTTACAAAGTTCACTTTGTCCTCCCATTTATGGCATCTTCCCTCAATCCTCCAGCAAGCTTGGTTGAAGACCCCTGGCTCTGGCTCTGTGGGACAGCAGTCCCAAGTCAGCTCTGCCTCAAGGTGGTCTTTGGTTCTCTGCCGAGGTTGCTGCTGCTCTTGTGTAGATTTCTGGTCTGACTGGCACCAAAATCTGTTGCCCCCGAGGACAAACACTGTACCCTCTGCTGCTTCTTTCTGTTGGTAATTAGATTCCTACCTTTGCTGCTAAACTTGCTCCTTTTAAATTTGGTGGGATGAAAAAAATCTAACCAATCCCATAATGATTAGTTTAGAAAACAACTACTGATTACTGTTGCGTCAGAATCAACTCATAGTTGACCCTCCAGTGAGTTTTCAGAAGTTCTAAATCTCTTGGGAGGACTCTGCCCTCCTCCTCCTCCTGCAAAACAGCTAGTGGAGTAGAATCATCTGTCTTTGGGTTGGGAGCTTAGGTCCTTAACCAACAGGCATCCAGAGCTCCCCAGAAGTAGTAGTAGAAGTGTAATTATGTTAGTTTATGGACAATCTTATTTCAAGTTCCAGCCCACTCATGTATGAAAGTGACATTTCTCCTTTTCACCACAAGCTCCTGTTCAGTCATGTGGTAAATGTCAAAGCTGATAGATGGGAAAATCATTTTGAACAAATAAGCTCATTACACCACAATTAGCTTTGGACATTTTTTTTTCTTTCTTACCTTGGTGAATCTCTCCCCTAACATCTCACTTTGTTTAGGAAATTAAAAAGTTCAAGATATGTTCATGGTTATTAGTAACTAAAGTGGAACAGGGACAAATTAACTAGAATTGAGATAAAGGAATTATGTGAAAAAGGCATTAGATACAGATTAAAGATGATGGAATAATGCCTACCAAGAATGTGTACACCACAATTTTTGGAACCTGTGAACTTATTATGATACATGGTGATGGGGGAAATTAAGGTTGTAGATGGAAAGGTATATGTTAGGATTGTATTCTTTTACTATACGTATTCAGTTGGCATGCTGGCAAATAATCCAAGCTAGACTATAGGAAATGTAGAATAAGAAAGCAGCATTATGATTGAAGGAAAACTCAGCAACAACTTGTGTTATGAAGATGACACAACTTTGCTTGCACAAAGCAAAAAACACTTGAAATATTGACTGAAGATCAAAGATTATATACATCAATATGAATCACATTTCAACATCAAGAAAATAAAAATCCTCAGAATTTGACCCCATAATGTACCTCTTGTTTTTCAATGCTGTGTAAGATTCCATTGTGTGTCATAGTTTTTCATTCATTCATTTGTTGATGGGCACTTGCGTTGCTTCCATCTGTTTGCTATTATGAATGATTCAGCAATAAACATGTGGGTGCATACATCTGTTTGAGCTCTTTTAATTTCTTACTGTTGCTACCATAGTTATTGATTGTGAATCCAAGTAAAATGAAATTTTTTAAAACTTCAATCCTTTCTCCATCTACCATGATGTTGCTTATTAGTCCAGTGGTGAGGATTTTTCTAGATGTTGAGATGTAATCTATATTGAAGCCTTTTATTTTCTGCAGTAAGTGCTTCAAGCCTTCTTTACTTTGAGCAAACAAGTTTGTATCATCTGTATAATGCAGCTTGATGAGTCATCCTAAAATCCTGATGCCACATTCTTCTTCATATAGTCTAGCTTCTTAAATAATTTCCTCAGTATACAGACGAATGAATAAAAAAATAAAGAAAAAAATTAAATAGGTATGGAGAAAGGATTAAACTCTGACACACATATTTCCTGATTTTTTTTTTAAGATTCATTCAATGTTGCACATTTTCCTTCCTCCCTTTCCCTTCCCCCTCCCCCAGTCAACTTTGCAATGCACCTCTTATTCCAGATAGTTTAAAATCATTTCCTGATTTTAAAACATGCAGTGTTCTCTTATTCTGCTTGGACAATTATTTCTTAGTCTATGGATAGGTTTTGCATAAGCATAATTAAGTCTTCTGGGATTTTCATTCTTGTTAGCAATAACTTGTTATAATTCACACAGTCAAATTTGTTTGCATAGCTAATAAAACACAGATTCACTGCTTTCAATCAAGATGCAACTGATGTTAGCAGTAATATACTTCCTGCCACAGCCTCTTCTGAATCTAGCTTGAATTTTGGGCAGTGTCTGGCAGTTCCAGCTGTTTTAAGATAATATTCAGTAAGATTTTACTTGTAGGCAATATTGTTGGCATTGTTCTATAGTTCCACATTCTGTTGGATCACCTTTTTTGGTATTGGAAAGTGGGAGGAAGGGAACAAATATACAGATCTCTCCTAGTCAGTTGGCCAGTTAGCGGTCTTCCAAATTTCTCAGCATAGACTAGTGAGCACATCCAGGGATGCATCTGTTTGTTGAAACTTCTCAACTGGTATTCATCAGTTCCTGGGGGCTTCTTTTTGCCAATGCTATCAATGTAGCTTGAATTTCTTTCAATACTTGTGTTTATTTTTATCATATTCTACTTCCTAAAACAGTTCTGTGCCAATCAATTATATTTGGTACACTCTATTCCTTCATCTTCTTTTGATGCTTTCTTCATAATTCAGTACTTTGCCCACAGAATCCTTGGGCATTACAAAGAGACTTGACTCTGTTCTTCAGTTCATTCAGTTTCAGAAATGCCAAGTGTGTTCCTCTCTTTTGTTTTTCTAACTCCAACTCCTTTGTGCATTTCATTATAATATCCTTGGTCTTCTGCACTGCCGCATGAAATCCTCTGTTCAGCTCTCTTAGTTTATATTCCATCCCTTTGTTTTGCTTGTTTACATTCTACTGCAACTTTCAGAGTTTTCTGACACGCTTTTTGGTCTTTCCTATCTTTGTAATGATATTTTGAGTTCTTCATGCTTAATGTCCTCGATGATACCATGTAGGGGGCCCTAAATTATCTAACATAATTCTCATAACTTTATAAAGAAGTTACTATTTTTTCCATTTCACAAATGAAGAACGATGGCTGGGAGAGATTAAATAACTCAACCAAGACAGCTAAAAAAAAAAATAGGTATGACAGGTAAGTAAAAAAATCTATTATTTAACCATTATGCTACATTGTTTGTCCCTGTTTTATAAATGTAGGGTCAGGTCCTTTAACATGAATATAAGGTAGCAAAAGGCAGAATGGGAATGAAATGCCCCCCAAGATGACATATATTAAGGAATATTAAAAGTAAACTGGGGGTGGTGGTGTCGGGACATGGACAAGTAGTATGATTTCTGTAAAATGTATGTTACATAGTAGGCTCAACTCTTCAATTTCAATGAGTACAATAAATGATGCTATAGTACAGCATGCACCCTTTCATTGTGTGCCCTGTCCCACGTGATCACTGATACTCCTTCTTTGTAATGGCTATGACATCAAAAGAACAAATGAAATTCTTATCCAATCATATTACTGACTTTAAATATACAAGTTATTGACAATCTGAAAAAATTGTGTCCTAAATATTTGGGAGCTGCTTTCCAGTAAATTTAAGAAATTCTTCTAATGACACATTAAAATCTGAGTGAAGTTACCAAGCTAAACCAAAAGGCCTATTTCTCTCACAGGAAATCCTCATGTTTCCGCAGGTCAAGTGCCTGAGTTCCGAACCCTTACAGTAAGGAATAGAGGTGGAAGCCTACGTCAGACTGTGGCTTATGCTGCAGCGCACATGGGGATGCAGAGCAGCTGCACAGGCATTAGCTCAGAGAAAAGGAATAGGGTAAGCTTGACCAGAAGGTAGGTGAGATACGCTTCATGCGTGCCAATCAATCCGATTTCAGTATCTCTTACAACCAAACTTTAAATTTAAAACCCTTAACCCAACACAAGTATGGGTCAAGAGATTTCCCCAAAGTTCAAATAAAAAATTTTAAAATAACCAATTTTTAAAAAAGTAAAACGTATGTATATGAGTAATTGTATAAAACAATATAACTGAAAGATTGCATAAAACACAATGTATATGAATGAAACATAATGTAGACTCAGAGAGGAGACGGATTCAGAACATTCCTGATCTCACCATCTTGCCTCAGGTACAGCATACCTGCCCCACGGCAGGCACTCCCAGATAACACAGATCTCATTATATGAAAACCAATAAAAATATTTCTTAGAAGAGAGTTTAAGCTTTAAAAAAATGCTAATTACTTTAACTTTCAAAACTTCTTTGGTGCCTGCCAGATGCAGAAACATGATGCCAGGAACTCAGGGTCACTACTCTGGAAAAACATGGAATCTTAAACTTGGTCTAGAATTAAACAGGTTAGGAAAATCTTATTACTAATGTAGTTTTAGAATTCTGAAATAGACTTGGCATTATTCACATCAAATTGTTAAAGGAAAAGTTTTATCTCAGTTATTTCCTCAGATTACAGTGTTTTTGCTATGAAATATGAAACAGCTGTGGCTAGGTGCCTTTGAGTTACTTCTGTCACACACATTGGTCCAGTATCCTCACTATCACTATCGTGTTTGAGACCACAGAGCCACTGGACCAGCAGTTGGAGCCACTGGAGCAGCAGTGAGTATTATCAGCAAACAAACTTTCAGGAATTAGTTGGCCAATGACTTCATTCCTAATAGAACTTAAATACCATCTTGTGCCTATCTGTCTAAAAAGAACACAACTGGTGGTGTTAATTTTCACATACACACACACACACATTAAAATGAAACCAAATTTATATTTAAAAATTATTTCAAATTAGTACTCCATTTCTCACCCATCCCCCTTTCCCCAAAACTTGCTAATTAAATTAACTTTTAAAAACTCCTGAATATCTAAAAATTTACTTCTACTTCTTCAAGGCAAATTTTATTCTCATTAAAATGTTTTTTAAAGAGCAAGCTCTGGTGGCCTAGTGGCAAGAAGCTGCACTGCAATCCCAGAGGTATGCAGTTCAAATCCACCGGATGCTCTGCTTGAAGAGGAACAGTCGCCGCCTGTACCAGTCAGATTCGACTTGATGGTACAAACATAAAAAATAATAATAAAAAAATTTTAAAGGCAGATTTTATCTACACAAAACAAAATTTAAAAAAGCAGACAGGTTAAAAATTTACTTGCACAAAGTAACACAAAGTTAAGACACAAAGAATAAAAAATGACTCAAAGTCATTGCCATAAAGTTGAAACCCAGTGATAACTGACTCTCCATTGGGTTTCCAGGGCTAGAAATCTCACAGGAGGAAACCACCATCATTCTCCGTGGGAGCCACAAGTGGATTCCAAAGACCAGACAGCTGCAGCCTCTGAGTTAACAGCCCACCTCCCAGTGGACTAATCCCCTAGAGCGCCCTGGAAAGTCTAACTCCTTCCTTGTCACCAAGTCAGAATCAACTTATAGCCGACCTTCAGCAGGTTTTCAGAGACTCTGAACCACGTGGGAGGTGGTGGCCCATCTTTCACTGGTAAAGCAGCAGCTGGTGGATTTAAACCTTGCACCTGTGGCTTAGCAATTGCCTAACAACCAGACTGCTAACAGAAGTCAAGAAATCAAAAGACGTGTTGTACTGGGAAAATCTCTCCAAGCGCTAAAGAACAAGAACATCAGTTTAAAGACTAAGATGCCTCTGATTCAAATTATTGTCTTCTGAGTTGTTTCCTATGTATCTGAAAGTTAGATGATGAATAAAGATAACCAAAAAGAACTGATATCTTTAGTTGTGTGCTGGAGAATAGTATTGAGCATTCCATGAACTGCCAGAAGAACAAACCAATCTGTCTTGCAGGAAGTATAAGCAGAGTGCTGCTCACAGGCAAGGATGGTGAAACTTCATCTCACAAACCTTGGATATGTCAGGAGGGCCAGTCTTTGAAAAAAAAGATCATGCTGGGAAAGGTGGACAGTCAATACAAGAGATGAAGACCCTCAATAGGATGATCAACTCAGTGACTGTGACAATGAACTTGAGTATGTCGGAGATATGATGATGTGGCAGATTAGGGAAAGTTTCTGATCTGCCATTTATTAATATCACTGTGAGTCATAGTTGAGTTGACGACACCTCACAAAAACACCACCACAGCAGCAAAATCTATTGGAGAAAAAAGAGCATTTTCAAAAGCATGAACAAAATGTAGAGCCAGTGTGGGAACTGAAGAACACTGAGTAAAGGAGTATAATGATGCATCAAACAATTTCTATTTGTCTTAACTCAAACCACACACTGCCTTTGAGTTGATTCTGACTTCAAACAAATCTCGCTCACGTTTCAAAGGCTGTAAATCTTTAAAGGAAGAGACTGTCCATCTTTCTCCAGGAGTAGCTAGCAGATTCAAACCACTGGACTTTTGTTTAGCAGCCTGGCATGTCTTAATCATTTATGAAATAATTAATAAATTAATTTCATAAATTAATAATAATTTATGAAATTATTTCTAATACTTAGAAAATTATAAAAATATAATTTATACTAATGTCTTACTATGTATAAAATATTAAAAAATAGGAATTGGGGGATAAAGCCACTTGAACAGATAACATTTTATTATGGACTATGAATTCCTTTATCCTCTATTAAAACTCCTCGCTGTCATTTCAACAGTTACAGCACAAAAATACTTTTCATGATCTGATTTCTAGCTGTAATTACAAATTGATATTCCCTCTTCTCCCTCTAGTCATGCTTCCAGCATGAAGACCACCATTCTTTCTTTCCCCCTGCCTTTCCATACAAAGGTAGTTTTTTAAAGCAAATAGTTAAAAAAGAAAACAGGAAGGAAAGTATCATTAACTAAATGGTCATGACTCATGGATCTTTTGTCCCCATTCTTCTTTTGTTTGGAAAGATGTCTTAAATGCATAACCTAACCTAGCACTATTTTAGTGGAGCTCATATAAGTTTTGTCCCCTAAAAATTAAGAATATGATAAAACTTCTAGGACCACCAAGCCCAAGTGCTAAGCAACCAGCACCGTGTTACCCCTAGAATGGAAGAAAATGATGCACCTTGTTACCTTGAAATAAAAGAAAGAAAAAGTACTGAATATTCATACCTGGGTTTAAATAGTTATTCTCATTCTACACTCCTAGTCTCTATGAATCATCTTCCAGATGATCAGAGACTATTTCCATGGACCAAGAAACTAATTAATACTCAAAGATTGCCTATTGTAATAGATGCTAGGGATACAAAGTAACAGAAACCCATGGTCTCTATCAACAATTTATACAGTTTGGTGGGAGAGGAAACTTGAGCTAGATGAACATAAATGATACACAACTGAGCATAAAAAAAGATGCCATCTAGACCTTCATCTTATTGGCCAAATCAATATATAAATACTATTAATAGCCAATAAACATGCAACCGTTTTAGAGTAACTATATAGTCCAGTTTAGATTATAAGGATGAGTTATTAAAGCTATAAATTACAAATATCGCTCTAAATCTTACAGGAGTTTTTCTGATTTCATGAGTAGCTAAATTTGTTTTTCAACGTAATGGAAATAGACACAATAAAATAAAGTTTTAGGCCTAAGGTGGGAATAAAAACCACATAAGGAAACAAACTCTACCTGAGATTTGTGCTTTTGGATTTGTACTGCTGGGAAGAGCTCCATCCAGAGACTGAGCAGAGTGAAAAGGTTGACTTTAGAAAGTCTTGGTACTTGACCTATAAAAGAAGGGAAACACTTCAAATTTTACTGATGTGGAAAGCAAACATTTCTCGGGCAGAAGAGGCACAGAAAAAGGATCAGACGACCAGAGAACCCCATGTTTTCTTAGAGAGTCCGCCTTGACCTTTCCAAAGTTGGATCTTCTTCCGACAGCAAGGGAACAAAGAAACCAGGCAGCGGGAAAATAAAAGTACACAGTTTGGAAACAGGCTTAGTGGTAAGGAATCACGCTGCCATTTCAAAGGCAAGTGGTTTGCACCCACCCGTTACTCCGCAGGAGAAAGACGGGCAATCGCCTCCGGTGTAAATTACTGCCTCCGAAAACCCACTGTCGTTACACAATAACATCTAAAGGAAGTAGGGCACCTCACATCATCGTGAATCGAGGTTTTCATACTTGTGGGGTAAGGCACGGTTACAACAGCAGTAATTAGAAGACTAGGGAGCGCTGGTGGTCTAGAGGGTACGGAGTTGTGAGTTCGAACCCACCAGTGGCTCTGCTGGAGAAATATGGGCAATTTCCTCCTGTGCGATTCATCGTACTGTTGTTGTGCACCGTCAAGTCACAGCTCCAGCGGGTCTTCAGAGGCAGCAAATCGCAGGACAGTGGATTGCCCATCTGTCTCTCGCGGAGCAGCTAGTGGATTCGAACTGCTTGCATTGGGGTTGACAGCTCAACTCACTCTTTCCCACTAAGGCACCAGAACTCCCTGTGCGTTTTTTTTTTGGTTTGTTTGTTTGTTTGTTTGTTTTTGGTGTTTTTTGTTTCTTTGTTTTTTGTTTTGTTTTAGCATCGCCTCTGAAAACCCGCTGGAGGGTCAGTTATGAGTCCGTCCCGTCCCGACTGCAGTGACAGCTGAGCAAATGAGTCAGAAACGCTGCACTAAAAAGGCAATGACACCTTCCCTTCGCGGGCTAAGGAGCTGAAACGGAGGACAGGGTTCGTCCGCGTTTAATTTGGAAATCTAGGGGACACTGACGATTCCTTCAGGATTGTCAGTTCTCTCAGCCCTAACCTCTAGGTCCCAGGAGGAGACTTAAGGAAGCAATGAGCGCGACTTCAACAAAACCATTGCGGCCGGAGGCGTTCGAGCCACCGGGAGCAGCGGGGCAAGAGGGGACGCAGGCTGGGAAGCCAAGTCAGACAGCGGGAGTGGCACAGGGCGGAGTGAGAGGCTGAGAGGGCAGGAGCAGGCTCCGGGCACTCACCAGTCATACTGCCAGTCTGCGTGCTCACCGACCGCCCGACGCCCGCAGTCTCCAGGTTTTGCATCTGCCCTGCTTCTTTCATCCCAGCCCACTAGGCTTCTGCTGCCCGAGAAGCCCCTCTCTGTCAGACATGATCTCGGCCCCAACGCCCCCTCGTTTGGCCTCCTCCCATCAACGGTAATGCAACCGCCCCCAGGGCAGCCCTGCCGGCTGCGGTTGTTGCACCAATCCCGGCGACTCCTTCCGGCGCTCGTGTGACGTCAGCACGGCGCGGAGTCGATGACGCACGGCCCGCCGCGATGCGTTAGGTGAGGGACGGTGAGGTGTGTGAGGGGTGCCGAGGTGTGAGTCCTCCGAGGCCTGGGTTGGGCTTTCCCACCCCCGTCCCCCCTTTGGTTTACGCCGGAGAAGTCAGGTCACTCAAGGCCTTCTCGGCTCAGATTGCGCGGACTCTGGTGGGTGATGAGGACTGCGCGGAGTTCAGAGAATTGACACGGGAACTTGCCCCTTTATGTCGGGGTCAAGGTCCTTTGGAAACTAGGAGCGAAGAGAAAGCCATCAGTGTTAGGTTAGGTTAGGTTAGTGGACTTAAAGAAGAAATCAGAGAGAAAGCTTAATGCAGCTTTATTATAGGGGGGAAAGGGGAGGCAGGATGCGAAGTCACCCCGTGAACTTACTGGGAAGGATTTTTATAAACAGAGTCTTTAGGGAGGGACATTCCACTCTGATTTACGAGCCACCTGCTAGCTTAGCCAGACAGGCAAGGCCGTTTTCGCTTCTTATCTGCCACAAGCAAGGCCATCAGCATTTGAGTTCTGAATTCTTCATTCTTCTCTTTGGCCCTCTTTGCCCAGACTAACAATCAGGGTGACTCAAGTTGTTGTCATCATTAGAGATTGACAGGTCCTGGGGAATGAATTTAGTGCCCACGAATAGGTGTTTAAAATGAGAGTTATTTGCTAGGTGAAAAAGAGAACATTCTGCAAGTGGAGAATGAGTCTAGAATATCTTAAAAACTGCCTTTTCCGGCCGCAGTTCCTCTAACGTTGACATGATATGATGTTTTGATACATGAAAATGTAGACTGTAAAGGAGACATTTCTTTTCACTGGACTCTGGCAGGTTCTCAGACTCATTGCAATGAGGCGTGACTGGATCATAGCTGACCTCACCTGTGGGTTTTCAGAGGTTGTAAGTCCATCCAGAGAGGTTTTAAGTCTCCTTGGAGGAAATAGTTTATATTTCTCCTGCTGAACTACTGGAGAGTTAAAACCTTCAAAGAAGTGTCATCTTTCTATTAACAGGGCACCTGCTTACTGACTACTCCACCAGAGAGGATCATGGTCTACGCCTAAAGGGTCTATTCCATTATAGTCAAACAGGCAAGATGTGATAGCTTGTGTCTAAGGATCTGATGCACACCATTATCAATACATCTTTGCAGTGAGTCCCAGGAACCGACATCACTAAGGAAATAATTTTCCTAATAGATTATGAGAAGGATCTGCTCTGTTACTATACTGGAAGCAACCAAAATGACACAGATCTTTGACCAACAATGTAATCCCATGTATGTGTTATTCTCCTGTTGTTGTTATGTGCCATCAAGTCACTTGCAACTCATAGCGACCCTATGTACAACAGCCCGAAACCCTGCTCTATAGCCTTGCCAAATTCTCACTACTACTTAGCATGCATTTAATCCCCTTGATAGTCTTTCAGCCAATTACAAATCTTTGGGACTTTTAGTTCCCACTCAAGATGGTCCAGCTTTTTCACTCTGAAATTGTTCAATTGCACAGTCAAGCTGCATTGATAATAATTGGTGACTAAAATGTGAAAGTTGAAAACAAAGTAGAAGGAATGGTAATTGGAAATTATGAACTTTGGCACAAAAATGAGGCTAAAGATACATGATTGAATTTTGTACATTTAACAATTTCCTCATCACAAATACATTTTTTTAACAAACACAGTTGGTGACCATACACGTGGACATTACCTGGCGTATATAGCAAAGGAATCAGATTGACTAAATACGTATGAAGAATCATGGGAGAAGCTCAATATCAGTATTCAAAACCAGGTCAGGTGCTGACTGGAAAAGACTATCAGTTACTCATGTGTAAGTTCAAATTGAAGAAAATAAAAAGTCCACAAGAACAAAAATATGATCTTGAGTCTATTCCACCTGAATTTGAAAATCATATCAAGGATAGATTTGAGTAATTGAACACTAATGGTTAAAAACCGTATCAGTTGTGGGATAACATCAAAGATACCACCCATGAAGAGAGCAAAAGTTTGTGACAAAGACCGAGAAAGAAGAAAAGATAAAAGTGATGTCAGCTGTAATCCTGAAGGCACGTGGTTCGAGTCCACCAGATGCTCCACTGGAGAAGGAGGGGCAATCTCCCCTGTGGCAGTCGGATACAGTTTGACAGTACACACACCGAGAGAGTAATACAATTTTTTTTAAAAATAATATCTTTTTTAAAAAAGTGCATGTCAGAAGACACTCTGAAAATCGCACTAGAATGTCAAGAAGCCAAAACAAAGTGAAGAAGTACTGACATAAAAGAGATGGACAGAAGATTTCAGATGGCAGCTTGAGAGGACAAAGCAAAGAGAGTCCTGGGACGCTCTCTTTCTGTTTGTACTTGCTGGACTCTGGTTAAGTGTTTTCTCTACATGTGTTAATTAAGGGAAAGCACAGGTTGCTGGGTCTTAAAAACACATGTTGATGCTTGGTGAGATGACAATGTCACCTCTTGAGATAAGGCTGGACCTCCCTGAAGTGCTCCAGTGGGTCCCTTTGCTGTTTTGTACCATTCTTTAGAAAGTCTGTCACCTCCTTTGAGGGGAAGCTTAGTTGTCCAGGTTTAGGGCAAGAGTTTTGGGGCTGGATTCCAGGAAGATTTTTAGTATTTTTAAAATAGGTTAACCTAACTGAAGAAACCCTGATTATGTTGTGCATTTAAATATTGGACTGAACACCAGAAAGTAAACCATTAGAATCTGCCAGATTTGCCACAGGAGAAAGATGAGAAAATTTCCTTCCAAAAGATTTCTAACTTGGTGAAAGGTCAGAGAGTTATAACTGGCTCTACAGCACTAAGTTTGAGTCTTTTTAAAAATTTTAATTAAAAAGCTTGAAATTATGTTGCTACAATATATTAAATGGAGAGGATTCACAATCAATAACCATAGAAGCAGCAGTGAAGAAATCAAAGGACTTGTTACATTGGGGAAATCTGCTGCCAAGGAGCCCTTTAAAGGGTTAAAGTGCAAAGGTCTGTTTAAAGGGTTTAAAGACTACAATAAGACGATGATCCATTGTATTTTCAGTTGTTTCTTATGCATCTGACAATTGGATAATGAATAAGAACACTGAAGAAGAATCAATGCCTTTCAACTGTGGGGTTGGAGAAGAGTATTGAGTATCTCAAGGACTGACAAAAGAATAAACAATTCTGTCTTGGAGGAAATGCAACCAAGATGTTCCTTAGAGTCAAGGATGGTGAAACTTCATTTCCCATATTTTAGGCGTGTTATCAGGAGGGGCCAGCCCCTGGAAAAAGACATCATGTTGCCAAAAGTAGAGCGTGCGTGCAAGACAGGAAGATCCGCAAAAGGATGGATTGACAGAGTGACTGTGACCATGGGCTTGAGTTTGATGGAGTTTGTGACAGTGGCACAGGATGGGACAAGGCTCCAATTTGTTGTTCACAGGCTAACGCTGAGTTGTAGTCTATGGCTCCTAACGATAATAACATGTATGTGGTCCTGTTTTCTGTTGTGTTCTTTTAAGAATAATATGCTTTTCTTGATTGTCACAAAATTGAGAATAAGAAAAATACAGGCAGAAACCTTATAAGCCTGTTATTTATTCTTGACTTCATAGACCCAGTACGTGTGTGATTCTTATTCAAGATGGCATCCAACAGGACAATATTTGCTGTGGGATACTGGAAAAGTAGGTAAGATTCTGTCTAGAAAATTTTTATTTTTAATCTTAAGAGAGTTTCTTACAATCACTGTGGAAGGCGGTATGGTGCTTTCTCAAAAAGTTGGAAATAGAGATACCATTTGACCCAGCAATTCCACTACTGGGAATATACCCCGAAGAGACCGTAACTGACATCCAAGCAGATATATGCACACCCATGTTTATTGCAGCTTTGTTCACAATAGCAAGGAGTTGGAAACAACCTAGGTGCCTATCAACAAATGAATGGCTAGAGAAGCTGTGGTATATTCACACAATGGAATACTATGCTGCATTGAAAAACAAGGAACTCATTCAATATTATTCAAAATGGGTGAGCCTGGAGGACATTATGCTGAGTGAAATATCTCAGTGGCAAAAGGACAAATATTGCATGGTGCCACTGCTGTAAAATGGGACTGATATCAGGGTGGGGGTAAGACTGAGAAAAACTGGATAAATTGTGTATACTGCACTGAAACAGATGAGGGGCTGAATAATTTAAAAGCGATGTATGATAGGGTATTATGGTTATCACAAGAGACCACAATTAAAGTTGCATAGTGGAATGTACTTGGGGCGGTGGGAGGGATGTGGGGGTATTGTGTACCAGGGAGGGAGTCTTTCTTTTACTTTTGAAAGAGAGGAGCAAACTGGGGGGTGGGGGGAGAGGGCTGGGCGGGGAGAGAAGTGCAACAATGAATGAATGGAAATCCAAATTCTCTGTAAATGTTCATTAAAATTATTTTTAAAAATTGAGAAAATAAAAGAATGAAATAAAAAAGAGAGTTTCCAACTAAGTTTCTTCCCCCCCACCTCTGTACTCCACCGTGAAGTTCTATGAGATGATGCTAAACCTCACATCCAAATAAAACTGCTTATTATGCTTGCTTTATGAATTGGGCTTTTAATAGTTGCTCTAAGAACATTTTTTCTGTTTTTAAATGTCAGTGTTCTGAAGGAAAGGTAAAACACAATGTATATGAATTTTGTATTCAAATAATTTAAAAAAATAACTATCAATATTTATTATTTCCCTTTAAATTTTTTTATTTGATTGATTTACAAAGCATTTTCCTCCCTGAATCTCTAAAGTCTCTGAGCACATTTAATACAAATTTGTCCATTTAGAAGGTACACTAAAAATGAAAAATTAATTCTTCTGATTGCCATTACAAGGCCTTTAGCAGAAACAAATTCTAAATTGCCCCACTG